TGTAAACCAGTTAAAACGCATTCTTTACAGCTTTTCCTTAAATCAAACTGGTTAACTTTCGAAAATAGATGCACGTATCATACAGCATTATAAGTATTTAAATCTATACAAGGATTGACTCTTTCCTACAATTCAGATATCATAGTGTTTTCGAAAAATCAAACTTATACACTTAGATCAACTAAAAATAGAAACATAATATATGTAAGATCTAATACGAAATATGTTAAAAGAACTTTTAGAAATAATGCAATGCAAGTATGGAATAATTTACCTTTATATATTAAAGAGTCTCCGTTTCTATATGCTTTTAAAAGAAATATGAAAAAAATATTTGATTGATATACAATTCAAATGAATCTGATGTATGCATGTGTCTGTCAATTTGAATTGTTGTTGTTTATGTTGTTTTTAATATGTGTGTACATATTTGTGACTTTAATTATCTTGTTTAATTGAAGGCCATTTTGTAAATAAGATTTGAATTTCTTAATATGTTACCTTCATGAAATAAAGTGTTTATTATTGTTATTATTATTATTATTATTATTATTATTATTATTATTATGCACTCGCCGTTCTTATTTTCTCCCTGTGTATTTTCACATTGAGGGCGCCATTTTGTTTGAAAAATCTGATCAATAAAAACAATTTTTTGTCGAATTTTGTTGTGAAAACTATGTAGAATGATAGAAAATGATCTAACTAAGAAAATAAACCCGAACACCAATATCTTTAATTCAGTCGTTAACGCTGTACAAACGTTTAAAGTGTTGTTTACGTGACGTCACAATGTAGCACCAAACAGCACGTGCAAACAATCAAATCAAGTTCGTTATTTTAATATTGTAGACGAGTTAGGTTTTACATTTATTTCACTATTACATTTGTATTTCGGTTGAAAAATTATAGAGTGAAATAAAAAGAGCAAACAAAGTTTTATCAACGTTTTCAAAATTCGTTATTCTCAAAATGTTTCTACACACAGTAGCTTTAACGACAGTTTTTTCAACCCACTGGAACAGCTTTTAAAGAACGTTTCTATTGGAAACTCTGAGGCGAAAACAAATTTATCCACCAAACATAAAGTCCAACTTTATAATAATGATTATACTTTTTCTTGACGTGTTAGAATGGAAATGGATATTCATTCTTCGTGCATTATTGTACATGTATAATAATGCACGTTTTTCGTTCAAATGCGTTGTAATTTATCACTCAGGCCTATCGGCCTTCGTGATTATATTACTACGCATTTGAACTCAAACCGTGCATTATTCTACAACAATGCACTCAGAATTGATATCTATTTCCTAAACAAAATTACACTAGTGTAATAACACTTTGACGTGACGTTTTGTTCGTTTGTTTATTTTTCAAGTGACATTGGAAGTGTATGGAAGCATTCAACTGTTGGACATTTATGGGTTGGATTTTTCCGCAAATATTATTACAGACAGTCTAGCAGCTTTACATGACCTATGTAGAAGTGCTATGAAACTAGCCTTTTCTGGCAAAGGTGAGCCTTTATAATTATTACCTAAATGTTTGGAATTAATATTCATTACTTACGAGGAATGTGTCTCCAGGTTGTTCTGCTTAAATCCGGTTCCTGGTCACGTTTTGGATGCTCACTAAGCACAGAACAACACTGCCATTTTTTTTATTTTATAATTATTATAAAACTGGATTCAAATCATAGATTCAGTTCCTTTTTTTCAAGTTACTGTTACTCATAGATGAACTGCAAACAGCCAAAGAGAGCAGAGCAAGGGCAAAAAAGTCATGTTAATATATGTAAAACGTACTCTAAAGATCACATTTGTCTGCACTGCTTAATGTACCACCACAAGGTTACGAGGTCACAAAAGTATAATTTCTAATCTGTTTGGCCGAGTGGTAAAGGTCGTTGACTCCAAACCACTTGTCCCTTACCGCTGTTGGTTCGAATCCCGACAAAAACCTTGGATTTAAGCTATCTTGCTAGCGTACAGAAGGTCTGTGGTAATACTCAAATGCCTATTCATGCCTGAAATAATGCACGGAAGGGCACCTGTGGTTTTCCTCCACCAGTAAAGCTGGACGTCGTCATATGACATATACTGTGTCGGTGTGAAGTAAAATCCAATCAAAAATATCTCAGTAGGAAATGACATATTCTGTGTTGATAGTTTGTATTTTTGGTTTAGATGTGTAGTTATTATATGTATTCACTTGAAACTTGGCATACCCGTTTACTAATAAGACATGACATCATTTCAAAAGGGCAGATGAGCCTAAAATAATTTTAACAAAGATATATCCCCTTTTCGACTAATAATAATAAGACTTTATTTAACGAGAGAACTCATTTGAACAAACATATCAATCTTCCATGAGGCCCTCAACAAGGAAGAATGTAAATTTAACATATTCAAACGACTACACTTATTTTGCTAAGGTACAAATGCTATAAAAATATTAACTTTAAAATCGGTTCCTTTCTAAAATGCATGTAAAATTATGTATCAATTTTGAGCTATTATGTCCTGTAACACCGCAAAACGTCCGTACCGCAAAACGTACGTACGTATATGGACGTTTTGCTGCGCATATCGTCCACATTTTTATGACGTACATTTTGCGGCAAAAAGGCATGGTCCTGTCGCATAACGTCCATATTTTTAAGTTTATATACTTTTCGTTAATTTTGACCAGTTATTATCAGGTGTTACTGTGTGTTGATTTTAGCTCACCTGAGTATGCGCGTATATGTTTGTCCGTCCAAATTTAGCTTGTTACCACTCTAGCATCCACATACCCTAAGCAATTTGTTCAGAGTTATCGGCCCTTGAATTACAATATCTGTTATATTTCACATTTTTACCACTCCAACGCTTTCATTTCTTCTTCAATCTTGACAATTTTCAACAGAATATCTATGACCATAAAATCTCAACAAAGTCAGATTATAGGCTAAATTTAACAACAAACGCATTATATCTCACCCTGTAAATGCTTTCATTTCTTCTCCATTCTTAAAAATTTTTAATACAGAATATGTATAACAATAAGGTCTCGATCAAGATTATTTATGAGCTAAAACGACTGAATATGTCAAGAGTGATTTGCCTTTGAAGACATATTTTAAAGTCAAATTATTGAGTTGTGATAAAACTGCCATTTCTTTGTTATCAATGATCAGAATGTCATTCATACATTTATGACAGGACGGACATCTTGAATAGTTCAACTATAATGTTGACCTTGAAATGACCTTGAATTTTGCTTAAATTACCATATCTTTGTCATTTACAGATATTTGGATAGTGATGACCATTTCAGACGTAGAATTGAGTACTGATATCAGTTACCCAGATTCTGACCAAGTACATGAAATGTACTTGCTTTTTATTTGTAATATTCAATGCTATCTACCCTTGTCATGTGGAGCCTTTATAGGCAGGTGGCTGATATAAGGCCACCGTGACCTTTTTGCTTTGTTCAATTATAAAATTACATTGTTCAATTATAAAATTACATTATGGCATTCAAACAAAACGCTTACATTACGATATTTTAAAATATGCTTTAGTTTCTATCAATAGAACAGATTGAACTTCTTTTTCATCATTTCCTATGCGGAAGAATGTTTGTTATAATATACTCTATTACGAATTATCTATGTAACTTAAAGACGAAATGTTTTGTTCTTCAGGCGATAAAATAATACGGCTTTAGTAAAGGGACGGATTTTCCGACTAACCTATAGATTAAATCATTTTTCAAAGTTATACTTTATGACAATTTCAACAGGCGCACTATCGTCATTTTTTCCCACATATTGATGATGTTCAAACATTACAATCTGCTCAAAGACTAGGCTGCTAAAAGTGCGCGACCCGATAAATGCACTCTTGCTCACATATGACTTGGCGCTAAAGCTCCCCATCACAACAATAGCTCTCTCACTCAGATATGACAAGGCGGCTAAACCCTCCTTTCCTCGACAAAAGCTCTCTCTTAAAGGCCCCATCACCATGACAATATAGCTCTCTCGCTCAAATATGACTATGCTGTCAAAAGCCCCCATCCATCCCCCGTAAAAATGAACAGTGGAACTAGACCTCCATAGTCAACGAGAACACACTTCTTGATGCAATTATATGAAAAGCTATTGTCAAAAGCAAAGCTTAATTTTAATTTTTTTTGTCATTCACTCAGTCCAATCCCCGGTTCGTCCGTCCGTATAGCCGACCTTTTCCTTGTGTCTATAAGATTACATTTATTTCAATATCATCGTTTTTATATCTCTGCTGCTGCTGCTTGGTTCCATTCCATAAAAAAATCTATTCAACACACATCCTCGGCTTAGGCATAATTCTTTTTTTTAAATAAAAAATAAGATCACAAAAATATTGCACTTTAATAATTATTTTGTCATATCTTTACCTGAAACAATATGAAAGTGTCAGAACCAATAAAAGTGACGTTTATAATGAATATATTTTAATACAGAAAATATGGACGATATGCGACGGAAAGACACACTCTCGCCGCAAAACGTATCAAGTACGATATGCACCGCAAAACGTCCACACGTGTACGAAATTCGACGCAAACGTCCACACGCGTACGTTTTGCGGTACGGACGTTTTGCTGTGTTACAATGTTATGCCCTCTTTTTGTCGACTTAAATTTATCGGCCAACTATTTTGTTATTCATATTGTATATTTCTCAAATAATACAAGGGAATATTCCTTGAACAGAGAAAAAATGGAGTTCCAAAAGAATGCTCAAAACGACAAAATTGAAAATGTTGCAGGCTCAGTTTGATTGAGCCTATTCATGGACAGTACTGGAAAGTGCACGTTACCGTCCAAGCCCCTGAGCAAAAATGGTGAAATTTTGAACTTCGAAATGCATATTACCATGAACGTCAATTTTAATGTATACTTGCAAAGAGAAAAGTGGAGTGTGCATTCGATTGGACTTTTGAAGAATTACCGATGATCCGAAGGGTGTGGGTGGTGGCTAGGTTTGCGATCAATATTTTCATATTTCTTGGTGGAAATGGACGCGTTCAAAATTTAAATATGTTTTTGTAGGTAGAGACAGGTTCGCAATTCATGTTATCATAGAGCCATATCTAGGACGAAATAAAGGTGTAAGCAGTCTAGAGGATATGATAATAACTAAAAACGAAATTGAAATTGACAATCTTGTCATTGCAAAAGTCGAAGGTTCATACAGAAAAAAATATTTAGACCTCGGTATGTATGCATCCAACTACAATTTGTTTTAAAGTTCAAACACGACAGAATGTATAATAAATGTATATACTTTTCGCTTATATTCCTTTTATTATCAGAAATATTTATGAAACTATCTTTTAGATTTACATTTAATAAGTGTAATTTTTTTAAAAAACCTCTCATATTAACACAGATTTATATATAATTACATTTTTTCTCCACAAAAAGTATTAATATGTTTTGTAAGGCAGTCAAGATAAATGTGAATTTTCCATTTATAAACAGAAAAATAAAAATATTTCTTTAATTAACACTTCAGATAAACAGACTCCAAAATACGTTGAAAATGAATGTTTTGGTTGCCCCAAAGACGAGGTAATTACAGTATTTTACTTATTTTATAAGTGTTTATCTAACATTTGAAAATGACATCAAGTTTGAGGTTCATTATAATGCAACAAATAAATTTCAACGAATAATAACTGATCGGCAGTACTTTTCTGCTTAAATCCGATTTCATAGTATACGCAATAGACATGTAAACGTAACTTGACTGCAACAACAAACAAACATACAACAGTACATATAATACAGTGATTAGAGGTAAAAGGTTCTTGTGCTGGGAACAATGATACAAGTTAAATTGTATAGAACTGTTGTGAAGGATACAAGAATTACTTTATTATACTCCGGCGAATTAGAAAGGGTCTGTCATGCAAATAACTCATACTTGTATACCTTTTTACGTATCGATAATTTTGTGTGAGGTTACTTGCTTATCGATATTTTGCTATTAATGTGTATAAAATTAACAGATGGTGTACTTTATTTTTCTTTTATTTTTTATTGAAATCATTTTACATCGGAACATATACATAATATAGCCAACACCAACCGTAACTATGATAATTTATAATTTGAACGAAAGTTACAGAGTATTGTCTTAATTTTGCATTAAATCTACTTGTTAATAATAAAACATTTATATCAGTTCTCTTATTTACTTATGTTATATTAATATTTTCTTTTCAGGTCTGGTGTTTGTTACCGAACATTTCAATGTGCTTTTCAAAAAATCCGTGCATAGGTAATATTTCATGAATGTAAATACAATTCGGTATATTTTCGCCTGGAATATCCCATTCTATGCTGGGAATTTCTTTGTCAGTAATTGCACATTTCTTTGTTTTATTTATTCATATCTCCGACAGTCAATCTGAGTTTGTCAGTTGTAACTAAAATATTCCCAGTTTCTTGAAGTGCGGCTTTTTTGTGGACGGTCATATTCGTTGTGAAAATAACTAAGGAACGCAATAAAGAGTTCATATTATATGATAAAAAAACCAAGTTAATGAAGAAGATCAATTAGTTAGTTAAATAAATCCAAGTATGATCACTATTACTTTCATTATTGATCAAAACCATCATAGTTGTAAACATGTCCAAAATTTAAAATTTATGAATTATCTCCAATTTGAATTATATGAGGTACTACAAGGGGAAATTTTGATAGAAAAGCAGTATCAAATGTAATTGTTATTTTTCAATAATACACTCAATTGCATTGGATAATATTTTCGCCTGCATTAACATAACACCAGACTACATGTACATCTCTATCATTTTGAGACTCGGTCAATTGAATATTATTCCATATAAAAATTTCCATGATTACCAAGACGACTGGCGAGACAAAGAGGAGCGTTTCATTACGTCTTGTATTAGTATGCAAACTGGAGCATGTAGTTCCGAAACACATTAAGTGAAGATATTGTAACCTTGTTTCTTTACGAGTATATGATTTTTCGGAAAGTTCAAAATATGGAAACCAGCAATGTGCTATGATTCCCCAATTGTATATCGAAATACTGTCGTTATTCGCTCTTGCAAATAATTTTACGCAAGTGTTCTTATATTTGCTTTGTTTCCTTTACTTGTTAAAAGGAAACATTTTTCTATAATCTGTCAATTTTTTGTTTTACAGATAATTATTACGATCATCTTAAAATTTCGAGTGATACGCAAATTGTCCGATTCAATTTGTTGATGACAAGCGATGAAAAATTTACTGCTATAGGTGATGACCAGAAGAGTGCTCTAAAAATGCAAATATCTGAACAATTAAATTGTTCCGTCCAACTTTTAACTGAAGTCGATATTGTACAATCAGGTATTCGTTTGATATTACCGAAATGCATAATATATTTTATAAATATTTTATATGTTACTTTCAATGGATGCCAAAGGTATATCGCACGAAAGCTAGCCGATTTCGATACAGTGCAGCTGTGTACAGTAGCATTGTTCTCGTTGTTACTGGGTTTATGAACTCTCAGAAATGGCAACGAGGCTATATGGAGTATTAAATGCATCTTATATAAATGTTATTGACTCTGAAAATGATAACGAGGCAACAATCGGTACGATATGCATTTGTTATGGTATGGTCTCTGAAAATGAAAACGAGGCTATATGGAGTACAATATATGCATATGATATTGACGTTTTTGTTTGGAAATGAAAACGAAGTTAAATTGGATCCAATGGAACAAAACATTGTGAATACGATGAAAGTCCATTGATTATATTTTATAAGATGAGAAATAAAACTATTTGTCACAGTTGACTTTACCTTACCGACGAATAGTATTTCGTCGTGATTCATAAATATTTCACTGATTTCAGAAGAAGAGGGCTACATAGAACTTGGTTTTGTTGTTATGTCTTTAAACGACAATAGGGAGCTGAAAAGGGCCGTGATAAACGTCCATAAAGCCAGTGACAAAGGAATGTTGTCTGTTATCACACCGTCAGCTGTTTACTATGCTGTTCCGGAGACTGTCCTGTTTCGTCAGTACATATCCGGCTATCCTAAACCGAGTCAGGAAAGACTTAAATCCCCTGACCTAGGAAATATCATAACTGGAATAAGTTTTATTGTGTTGATCATCTTCACTGTATTGATAGCCTCTATAGCCAGGAAAACACAACCCTTGCGTCCGTATGCAATAATGAAAGGTTCGTATAATACTCATATTGTAGTTTGTAACGTCGATATTGCTTGAATGTTTATATATGTTTTGCATTAAAGTTGTTTCCTTCAATTCACAAAGGTTATTATTCAGAATAATAAAATCGTTAGAAAAATTTGTCACGTATTATGAAAGCGTTAAAACGGTCAAAGAATTAAAAATATAACAATCCTTGCTGTCCTATTTTATAAGTATTAATCAGATGTTAGTAAAAACAAAATGTTTCTAATTCAAGGAAACATCTTAGATGAAATGATGAAATAATACTTATTTACTTTCAATCCTACTTTTAAATTACTCAGATTCGACAGACAAAGACGTGGAACGGACCCACTGGATACCCCAACATGTGGCAACATTTATGCGGAGATAAACTACATGTAGTATACTGTATACTTAAATTATAATTTGTTCGTAAAACTTCGTGATATTCCGTTTTGTGCGTTTTTTTTTGTCTTTATAAAACGTTTTTAAAGTAACGTTCGTTATATAAGCATGTCATGTGAATACTTTGATATATTTGAGTATTTCATTCAATATTCGGCATAGTCGTTAGAATATTGGATGTATACCTTTACGATTTGGATCAACATTTACAAAGACACCTGCAATATATGGGCTGTTATTATTTGGATAGGTTCACTTGGACTTGGTGTAACTAACCCTTGATTTTGTACATGTTTGAATCGTTCATGTTGAATAAAGAAGATCGAACTGGATTTTTATATTTATTAAAATAAAATACATTGCATGTTTTGACTTAACATTCGACACACCTCTGTTCCGTTTGTTATCATACTTATTATTTCTTTAAACGTTCCAGGTTATCTTGGAACTAAACCTAATTGAAAACGTCGGGAACATTTTTTTACAGCTGTACTTTTGACGATTGGCATTGTCGTCATTACTAAATAATTGCCATATGACGTATTTATTGGCGACGCCGGTGAGCGGCGTCGTCTCTTATGGAATGCTTTTTATTTTGGCCTATGTAAGGAGCTGTTATTATCAGCAGTTAATGTCATGTTGTGTTAATTAGTTTTATTTTGATTCGTAAAAATCAAGTAAACAAATAACTTTATGTAAAAAGCATGTGCATTGTGATATTATTTTCACGAAAATGCAGACTCAGTTTTACAGATTGTCCCTTAGCTTTATTGGCAATACTAAAACCCGGATTTCGAATATCGTTGTGGTCTACATTGATGCCGTATTCCTTTTCATTCATTTATATATTTTCAAAATTTACCTACAAGAAGAACGTTCACCTGCAAATGAGTATTAGGATAGGTTAAGGAACTGTTGTTAACGATTATTCTATTGATTTTATCCGTATTACGTTTAACTATTGCACAGAATGATTGTTTTTACAAAATGTACCATTATTCGGATGTTGAAAACTATCCGATTTTCTGCAATTACGGCTGTCACATGGCCATCTAACTTTTTATGAATACTTTACCATTTCTTTGCATGGCTTAATAAAACTAAGCCTGCAACATTTCATAATTTTGCTGTTTAGGGTGTTCTTTTGGGTTTCAGATTTTCTCTATTTTAAGGGGAAGTAACTCATGTTTACTAAATTATTTGTTCTTTTCTGTCAATTATAGGTGTTACTTACTATTTTTGTTGTATGAATTTTACCAGTTGTAATTTTACCAGTTGTAAGGTCATCAAAAGCATAGAGGCCCTGAGGAGTGACTATTGATAGATTTTGTTTACTTGCTTTATATACCTTGGACTGGATTTTTCTAGATTGTTCAGTTAATGTTAGTACATACCTACAGGTATTCTGCTACAGGAATCTTCTAATCACTATGTTTAACTAATTATTATTTTCTATGTGTTTGTATATAAATTGTTAATAAAATAATCTTGGTAAAAATGAAAGGTAGAAAATGAAAGCTACGCACATAGGTGCTCATGTCCGTTTATTAAAACAGAGAAAGAATAACATCCTGAAGTTATCAATTTTAAACACTTGATAAATATGTATATGCAGTAAGTTATATAGTCAAGTCTAATGGAAGGTTAAAAGAGGGACAGTATTTGTTACTGTAAGAGATATTTATTTAATGTTTAGACACTCACACAAAATATGATATGGACTATTTGATATTTTTTCACTTTAATACTATACACTATAGTTTTCATTCTACAAGATTATGAATTCCATCCAAGTACCAATGTTAATAGGATGTTATATTTATTTTTAATGGAAACTGGGAATTATTAATGTAATGTGCATACATGTATATCTTAGTATATGGATATAATGTGTATTTCTGTATTTAAAGACTTACTGTTATGATGGATGATTATAAATGATAATACATGTATCGATTAGTCTACAGGTTATAGATGTTTATACCCAGCTGGCTAATTATAATAGTATCTATAATAGAGTTTATACATTATAGTTTTCTTTTTACTAGATTTTGAATTCCATCCATTAGTACCAATGTTAATGTTAATGTTAGAATTTCAAATGATTGAAAATGTCCTTAAACTTGGATCAAGAATATAATTAATAAAGTCTCAAGAAATCATATTCTGAATAGTTATTCTATTTTTTTTCTAACATGTGCATAATCTGAAAAGGACAGCTTCTGTCTTATCTATTTGTAATGGAGGGACACCGGGCTCAACCTCCAGGTCTCCAGAGTCAACCCGATAAGAGACTTTTCATAGATTAGACTGTTACTTGCACTTAATTTTATAGTGGGTGATTTGTGCCACATGAAAACCAACAAATTACAAAAAGTAACCGGCGCCAGATGAAAACATGAAAATACAATCTACTACAAAGTGGTTCGTTTGTTTCATTTTCATGTTTTCGCCCAGTACCCCTGATGCAAAATACAAATCAGCCTTCATAAAATTTCGTATCATAGATAAAAGTTTTTTTTATCTGTACAAAAAATAGATATTGTACATGTATTAGTAAAGTTATGTTAACTTTCAAATTGACCTGTTATAAATAATGGCACAACCAATAACTGTCTAAGCCCTTTTTAGTAAAAAAATTATACAATATATAAATTGTTATTTTGATTAAGACTATTAGTATGTAAGGTTTATTTTCTTACTTCTTTAATTAAGAATTAATCTACCTGTTAATTTAAAAATCTAAAAGTATCTGTCACGGTTTAGAACTGTTTACTATTTAGGGGAGAAAATATGTAAGCCGCCAGATAGCTCAATCGCTATAGCCGCGTTACATTATTCTGTGGGTCACAGGTTCGAGTTCTGGTCAAGCTGAAAGTTTTCCTCATCCTGTGACTGGATAAAACCCTTAGTTTAACTCACTATGCTCTGTGTAGCCGGCCGGATAGCTCAGTTGGTCTTCTGAAAGTCATGGGTTCGAGTCATGGTCAGGCAGTTTCAGTCAGGGCTTAGAAGATTAACTGACACATGTTTGATTCTTTTAACAGATTGTATTAAATTTGAAATGGACAAAGGCAGTATTGCATGATACTTTTAGATCTACAAAAGGCATTTGATACAGTTGATCACACTATACTAGACATGAAGAAGTTATTCTTCTTCATGAAACTTCAAACATCTGCCATAGATAATGACATTCTTACATGGTTCAAGTCTTATCTCTGATAGACAGCAGCTGGTGGATGTGGCTGGTACTCATTCTACTACTGCTCCGAGTACTTATGGTGTCCCCCTGAGGTTCACTTTAGGTCCTCTTTTATGTGTAATATATGTCAATGACATGTCTGTAACCCTAAGCAATAAGCTTTTATTATATACTGATGACTCAGGTATCCGTGTATCTGGTAAAATAAATCTGAAGAAATTCTCTCTTATTGCACGAGTCTTATAAGATTGGTTAATTGACTATAAATTGTCTTTGCATCTTGGCAAGACAGAGTCTATTCATTTTGGTTAAAGTTTCAACTTAAACTGGACCTTGCCTCCAGGTCACATGTAATGGTACTGCTATAAAGTACACATCTTTTGTTAAGTATTTAGGTGCAAAACTTGATCAATTATTTTTTGGCGTCGCCTTTGATGCTTTGCATCAATGCTTTTCTTGTTATTTATTCTAACATTTCTCGTGATTTTGTCAATATAGACAAAGAAGAAAAACGGTGTTTAACCGCTATGGACTACTTGTATATGCGGCTGTTATGTTTGATATTGATTATATCGATTATATAGTTTACAAAGCCTTTTAAAGCAACTATAATAACGCATTTTATTGATATTTTCCGTTCTTATAACGTTTGTGTTTCAAATAGATCTATATCTGCTGAAATTATATCTCACACTAACGCCACAAGTTTGATCGATATAGGTTAATAATGTTTTTGACAAAACGGCGCCAATCCGTAAAATGACGTCATCTTAAGTATACAACTCCCTACGTATTGACGTCATTTCAAACACTCAAGAATGATTAATCAGATACTAATACCAGTCTGAGACGTAAGATTTTATTGTTGAAAACTTGATTAAAAAACTTTGTTCTTATTATTTCTTCTGTTTAATATTTTTTATATCATAGCAACAGTAGTGTGCGAAATCGAACAGCGTTACAAATACGAAAATCGGCCCCGGAAGTAATCTCCGCTTAAAACATAACATTACTGCAGTAGAGTCTAGTGATCTTGCTTATTTTATCTTGTTATAATCGAAATTATATCGGCCTGAGTAATATTTATCGGCTATTTAACACCGGTTTTGTCGTGCTGATGCAAAAACAAATTTCGTGATCAATTCCTACACATCAAAACTCCAAACTCCAAACCGGTGTTAGACAGCCGATAAACGCAATTTACATATAGTGAATTTCATTGTAAGGAAGTTTGTATCTGTAAACCTAAAGTGAGATCGGAAGCATTAAACACAAAACTATTACATAAAATTGCAGAATCGGTTTGAATGAATCTGAACATGTTCTTTCTCTTTTATATCATAGTCAAACATAAAAAAACACGTTCCCTGTTGTCACAATATGAACACCCGGGAAAAAGTAACCAATGAACGAGTATCTGAAAATATCATTTCTGTCGCTT